GTGTCTACTACAGTAATATGATAATGCACGCCACCATGGTACCAAGGTGTGGTTAAATACTCTTATATGATTGGCTGACAGCGACAACAAAATGTTATTGATAATTATGTATTATTCAATCAATGTAACTATAAGAGTAGCTTTCAATATACCAAAATATGTACTTTCTGTTGTTATAGATGTAAAAATTGGTTCATTATTTAGGGTGGGCAAGGTAAAATAGTAGCAGATTTTAATTTGAAGGGAAGAAAAAAAAATTAAATAAATTGTTGCATTTTCATTAATATGACTGAAATTTTAAGTTTGTTTTATATATAAACAGGGGTGTAGTGGGGATTTTTAAAGTGGGGGTATGCGATTCCACCTCCGTCCCAAAAGCCATATACTCTACTTGACATGCCGTTCATAATCACCTACAGAACATAAATCACAGACTACAACACATGAACCAGGACTACACCAGGACTAAAACAGGACTGAACCAGGACTAAAACAGGTCTAAACCAGGACTAAACCAGGTCTAAACCAGGACTAATCTTGGACTTGAGAGTGAGAGATAGAGAACCCAGAGCCCATGGAGCAGGCGCGGAGCTCTACGCCGGTCCTTTGTCCAGTGGTCACCCAATGGTCTATACAAGTGCACCTCCAGGCCCGCCCTGACACTCGGTTTTGGTTCAGTTCTGGTTTAGTCCTGGTTTAGACCAATGTTTAGTCCTGTTTTAGTCCTCCTGGTTCAGTCCTGGTCCCTCACGTCGTAGGCCTGTATAGGAGAGCACTGCAGATATCATGAGCCTGTGCAGGTTGTTTTCACCATTGCCAATAGCTCCAGTTTTTAAGTTGTAGCTATTTTATATTTGTTATTTTTTTTATATCTCACGTCAGGAGAAGTGGGTGGACGGCTTACCCCCTTGTACCACGCCCACTACACCTTTGTATATAAAGGTGTACTTTAAAACTTTTTAGTTGGATGTCTGTCTCCTGAAAACAGAAAATTATAATCAAAATCTTTTAAATGGTAAAAAGTCATCAAAATGTCACCTATAGGATGCCAAATTTCCCAATTGCTTACATTGTATTTGATCATAAAATATCTAAAAGGTAAATACACAAAAGCTGAACCTGATCATTTCTATTAGTAACGATCCCTTAACGTCTTGTATTAAAACTGCATTTCAGCTCCCCTCCATTTGTATTAAATATTACTAGTCTATACAGTATTGTGATGTCTTCTGAAACCTTGGATAGTGGTACATATTGAGAATTCCTCCAGCTCTCACACAAAGCACGCGTGTCTAAATATAGGGACCATTACAAGCTTCAAGCCTCTCCATAAGCACGAGTATAACAGGGTCTTATGCAGAATCAGCGTCTGTTTGCATGTTTGACAGATAAACCTGATCCAGATGTTCCTCTCATCAGCTCCATCTCTTTGTTTGTTTGTTTAGTTTGAAGAACAAATCTCTCATAAATCTCACGCAGCTCTGTCGCCTTGGAAACATAAATCAACAATTTTTCTATACTTTGTCCTGGTTTTGTGAAGCATCTCCAGTGTTAGTATAACACTAAATGCAACCAGAATGTGGAATAATAAAATGATAAAATGGGAGACTTTTAGTGCAACAATATAAAATGCAGAGCTATATATTCAGTGTACATTTGCAAGATTATTTAACACAATTGTGCTGTTTTGCAAATTTAAGGCTCCTGAACAATGGGAAAGTTACGCTCTTATACTTTCTGTTGTTTTGTATTATTAGTGAAATTAAAGGTGCACTATGTAACTTCTACCATGGAGGATTTGCTACTTGCTTGTCTCCATGGAGATGTTATTTCTTTGCATGGAATGTTCCGCGGTATGGCATTAAACATATCTGCCTTGCATTTATTCAATTATTGTTTTATAGTTCAACAACATCAACATTACTCAACAGTAATTTTTACTATGCACTTGCTTCTCCATAGAGCTGACCATTAACTTAATTAAGGTAAAGCATCAATATCTCCAAGGAGACAAACAGGTGGCAGACCCTTCACCAGAAAACACAGAGCACCTTTTAAGTAAAGTAAAAAATATAAAAGTATGTGTTTATCTATTTCTTCTGTTATGTATTTATGTACAAAATGATGTTCATAGGGATATACTGTGCTCTGCTCATATTTCTCCCTTAAAGGTCCAGTATGTAACTTTTCTAGTGGAAGGCGTGTCACATGCTTGTCTCCATGGAGATGTTATTATTTTTACCTGGAATGCTCCACAGTATTAGTCAGAGAGCAAGCGGATCCTTCCTTCAAAAATTACACAGTGAGCGTTTAACCTTGCTTACTGAAAAGGTTTACAGTAAATAAACTAATTAATACATGATTTGGAATTGGTTAAATGTGCATTGTGTAACTTTTCTGGTGGTGCTTTTCTCCATGGAGATCTTATTGCTTTGTCTGGAATGTTTCACAGTATATTTCTATCTTCATGCAGACTAAAACTAGACAAAGTTACAGGTCAGATCTGTAGGACAGGCAACTCTGCTCAGTCAGAATGCCTGTTTTTGAGCCATAAAACCACCAATAATGTAATAAATGTATGGAAGAGATGTTTAATGTCATACTGAGGAACATTCAGGGAAATGCAATGGCATATCCATAGAAACAGCAGGTAACAGACCCTCCACCAGAAAAGTTCCAAAATCCCCTTAGGCGAGCTCTTCTAAAGTAGCCATCAGTCAAACCCACAAACATCAAACCTTGTCTCCATCATGACTTTAGTTGGTGAAGAGTTTAAGAACAGAAGGAGCAGCCCTGCCACAGCCAATAACATTAACACAAGAGGGACGTGTTTATCGTTGTTGTATAGTGTGAGCCTGTGACCAGTTCTGAGCCTCAAGCACGTTGGATAACTCTACACGAGACAGCACTGAGTTTAGGGACATGCCCACCAGCCTCTTTCACTTAACATTATCAACAAAAAGTACAATACTGGTAAACTTATAATGATGCTCTCACACTAGCCAATACAACAGGGATATATTTGAGCGCTACAACATTGCAGAGGTAAAAGAAGAAAAAGGTGCACAATAACTTTTCTGTTTTTCAATATAACTGGTGGATGATTGTTTTTGAGCCATGAAAAACATTCCAGGCAAAGAAATAATATCGTCATGGAGACAAACAGAAAGCAGACCCTCCAATAGAACTGGTACATAGTGCTCCGAAAGGAAAAACAAACAAAAAAAATTATATGATTGTAACTACATGCTACTTTTTGAAACATTTAAAGAGTTCATAATCAATGCAGAGACTAATCAGCTTAAACTCATATTCACAACATAATTTTAAGCTCAAAAAGCACACTTACCACGCAAGATTCCACAAAATATTTGAGTAACTTGGTGGTTTATAAAGTATCAGAATCAGATTTTAAATATCATTATAGTTAGTGTGGTTATTTGATTAGCATTGAGCAAGCTTTCAAAATTTTTATATGCTGTTTTGTTTTGTTTTTTTTTTTGTTTTTTTCAGAAAATCTATGGGAAAAATGAATGAGAAATTTACTTCCAGAACCATCGGGTGGGCAGTTATTGTTAAGCTCCACTGTTGCATCAATTGGTCAAACTATAATTTGTTATCAAAATGCTTTACAGTACTTTTATTATGTCCAAATACTACTGATAATTTGGAAGCCACTTATTTTACTCTTTGATCACTGCTCTTCACTGGAGCAAAAATCAAAAGTGAATATTATCTGATGCAAATGGTAGATGTCTCAATGATTTCTCAGTGTTCAAGTTACATGTGTCTTACAAGTCTACAGAAATACAAACAGCAGCAATCATGTCATCACCAGTGTTTTCATCTGATACTGAAAGAGACTGAGAGATGACTTTGGCACGATGTAGAGGTAGCCTATAGCCTTTTAGATAAATAATCTATAAACCAGCCCCTGAAGAGTTGAGGCAGCGATAGGAGCAGTGAGTCCCAGGATGCTGTTTGTTTGTACGAGGTGATGCCTTCTCTGAGACACTATCATTTTATAATAGGGATGTAATTGTGAATCAGCAATACAATATTAGTTATTGCAGTTTCCAGATTTATAATGTGAAATGGATTAAGTCTGGATCAAACTGGATTTCACTATATAGATGAAAGAAAACAGGGAGTGCATGTGATCAAATTTCTACAAGGGAAAAGCTATGTTAAGTCCAGTGTGGTCTTATCTGTACAGGACAAATGCATGTGGCTATTGATACTTTGCAATGACATCACACTGGGGGTGTTCTGCCTCTGTGTTTATGGTGGAATGTTTACCAGTTACCACGGTGACACAATGCACACATTAGTAATAACTACCACTAAGATTGTCTGAAAGCTCAAGAAAAAAAATACTAAATGGATTTAAACAACACATTTTCAGGAGTCTCTGATCAATCGATTGATTATGGTCCTGTTTGAGCTACCTTGAGCTTCCTTGTGACTGTAATTTTACTTGTTTAACAGCACAAATCAGCTAAATCAGCTCTTTATGGTCAGAATGTGTTACAACGGAGCTCGAAATGAAACCTAACTTAAGTAACGGAGCTTCAGACAGAGCAGTGCTTCCGTTAGCATCCCACCCCAGGCAATGTTGATGATATCAGCTGTAAAGTATCAATTATGCTTGTTTGAAATATTTGTAAGCAATAAATGTGGATAGAATTTTTTCTTTTGGATTACGCACATGCTAAAGACTGCCACCATGATTTATTGTAGTCAGTCACAGAAACTATCCGGTCATGACTAAATAGAAGATAACAACATTTTAAGATAATAAATACATAAATTATTCAAATATATATATTGGTATAACTAGATGAGAGTTGAATATGTGGTTTGATTTGTGTGTCCAATGAAAGCAGTACTGTACATGTAAGAGAAATGAGCCAAGCCGAGGGTCAGAGGTGAAAGAAGACAACAGTGAAATGCAGTGTGTAGTATTAGAGTATATAGAGTATAGTATTGTATTTTTGTACCTTTCTGAAGGCTCATGTCTACCATTCGAGGCTCAGCCAGCTCCAGGAAGAAGTTCTTGTTTTTCTCATACTCCTCGTCGTCAATAATTTTCACGTGAATGTATTTGCTGCAAGTGAAAAGAAGGGAGGAGAGAGAGGGAGGGAGGGTGGAAGAGGACAGAGAGAAAGAGAGAGAAGAAAAGGTTAATTTGTGATGGACAGACAAATGAAGCGCACTGTCAGTAAAGGATTAATCATCAGCATGGAGGAAGGTTAGAAGGTCAAAGGGCAAAGCTCCACCAGCACAGTCAAAGATGGTGGCTGTGTCCCCAGTAGTGTGTTTGTGCATAAATTACACGGTGGCTTTTGGGTTTATGTGTATTATAAAACATCTAAACAGCAAGGATGACATAAGGGTGACTTTGATAGGGTTAGAAGCAAGCAAAGCAAATGGGGTTTTAGACCATTAAGTTGTGCTGTTCACATAGGGCTGGGCTGTTTGGCAACATTTCACAGATCACAATATTTTCCATATATAGTCATATTCATATTGACGGATTGCAATTACATTTTTTTTTAAAGCAAATATAGATTATGCTTAATATTCACTTAATGAATATAACCAATACAGAAGGTCTTGAAGTAAAGTTTTTGGTGGAGGGTCCATCAGATGCTTTTCTCCATGGAGATGTTATTGCTTTCACAGTACCTTTAAACCTTTCTGTCTTCAACCAGACCAAGTAACAGGTCAGATCTGTGGAGAGGCGACCCTGCTCACAGTTAGAATGCCTGTTTTTCTGGGTATTTTTGAACTATAAAACCACCTGTAATTGAATAAATGTAAGGCAGGAGCTTATTGAATGTTAGCCAGGCTGGTGCCACCTAATGCCTCCACTCAATTTCATTTGTCTCCAGTGACTAGGTCAGGAATCGGAATACATTAGACAGTTTGCAAGAACCCCGGAGGTTGTAGCAGCGATTGGTTAAATAAAAAAAGTACCCACCTTACCGGTGAGTAAATGAATCCTAATGGTGCGAAATCAGACAAAGGAAACTGGCTGATGAATCAGGCTAATTTAATGTTATATTGTGGAAAAGTCCAGGCAGAGCAATCACTTAACCACAGAAATAAGCAGGTGATGGACCCCAACCAAAAAGTTACATATTGTATCTTTAAAACAAAATAGATCAAATTTATTCATCCACAGAGCATTTTACTATTAAGTAACCATACCATTAAGTAACCATATTTTTATATAGTATAGTAGTTGTTCTAGTTATCCATCAATTTGTAATATTCGTTCTTTTTCTTTTTCACCAGATGCCCTTTCACATACACCCATCCTAGTACTCAATCTCATATAACCACTATCTGTTCCCCTGGCGATACACTAAAGACAATATTCATCAAAACACTTTCAAAGCTGTCTTGTGCCCATCTCCTAATACATTTGAACTTGACATATTTAACACGGACGAGGGCTCCCATTGGCCGCCACTGGTGTCACTACAACTGTTATTAATCACAGCGTCTCAACAAACAGAGCAGAAAGAGGAGAGTGGACGGAGCCAGTGGACAGTGATCAATCAGGCTGTGAAATGTAACTTTACAAGGCCGAGAGGTGAGAGCGCGTAACCCAGAGAAACCATCGCCATCTGAATGGATTTTTACGCTCAATTTTTGGGTCAGAGGAGTTTAAAGAAACAGCCTTCCTCAAACTGAACGTACGGAAACAAAGAAGGAAGAAGAAGATGAAAGAAAGAGGGTAAAACACAGGGGCTTAAAGGTGTTCTATGTAACTTCTAAGGTGTAGGGTTCTCTTGTCCTGCTTGTCTTTGTGGAGATGCTATTTGTTTGCCTGGAATGCTCCACAGTAAGGCATTAAACACATCGTCCTTGCATTTGTACAATTACAGTTGTTTTATAGTTCAAAAATACCTTAAAAACATGAAGTTTTGCCATGTATGGGCTTGCTTCTCCATAGATCTGATCATTAACGTGTCTCAATTGTGATTACCATGTTTATTTCCATACTTGAATAATCAAAACAAAACAGTAATATCTCCATGGAGACAGTTAAGTGTCAGACCTTGCACCAGAAAAGTTACATAGTGCAGTTTAAGTAAAGTAACTGCACCAAAAACAGGAAATGGTGAGGTTTTGCAAGTTGAAGAGTTGAGACTAAAATTAGGCAAAATTATGACTGAAATTATTAAAAAGTTCCAACAAAAGTATGACGTTCAAGCTTTTGCAAACGACAGATTGCAAGAGAAACCCATTTCAAGAAGAAATTTAATTAAACTAATTAAGGACTATTTTTGTTAATCTTGCTCCAATTTCCTAGTTTAAGCAATATCTATTTGTAATAAATATTGACTTTTTCTGTGTTTAAGGTTTGTCAATTGCAATACAACTTCAAGGGGCACTGTGTAACTTTTCTGGTGGAGGGTCTTCTTACATTTTTGTCTCCATGAGAATGTAATTGCTTTGCTTGGAATGTTTCACAGTGTGTTATTAAGCTTAACTATCTCCATGGAAACAAGCAGGAGATTCTACCAGACAAAAATACTGGACAGATGTGTGCAGAGGAAGGCCCACTGATTGTAAATGTGCCTGTTCTTTGAGCAATAAAACACCCATTAATGAATGAATGGAAGATTGGTAAGTTTAATGCCATACTGTGAAACATTTCAGACAAAGTAATTCCATCTCCGTGGATACAAACAGGTGACAGACACAATACACCTTTAAATGTTACAATAATGAGTCCATGTAAAGTATATGTGATTGATAGCACAGACATAGTCCCTATAATCTCCTGAGTGTCAGTGCGCACTTTATTGGTCTTTAATGAAGTGAGTGGTCTTCAGGGCTAGACTCAGTGACACCAGCCCAGAAGAGCTCCGTCTGCCCCTCGGCCCAGCTCTGATCACTCCTATTGATCTGTTTAAAGAGTTATTGACGAGTTCAGGCCAGTTAAGTGGTCAGAAGGAACCTGGATGTCTGCGTGCCTCCAATCACTGCTCCAGCTCTTCTGATTTCATACATTGTTGGATCTTTGTGAAATTCTCCAGCACCACTCCATAGTACTTGATAATCTTTCCAAAATGCATTTATAACATTGTTGGTTCAAATAAGTGTAAAATTATTGGAAAATTCATAAGCTTTACAAATACTAACTCTGCCACTTTTTCCAATATTGTCGACAAAGATTTATGAATGAAAGAGTAAAGCTGACGTGACATTGCCAGATTAAAAAAAAAAAAAAAAAAAAAAAAGAAAGAAAGAAAAAAGCATTATACATTTGTTTTACTTTTTAGGAGGATAAAACAAAACCTAATTACTTCATTTTGCTTCTAAATCAATTTTGCCTATACACATTCTCTACACATCTCCAGTCTGGAACATTTTCTCTCCTGCACAGGCTCTGAAATGTACAAATGTCTGATAATAATAATAACAACAACTACAAAATACCACACAAGCCTATGTTGCCTCCATGTTCTTATAGGCCCCAGAAAGGCTTTTGCTACACGTATCTAACAAGTCAACAATTGTAGATGGCGGCTCAGCTAACCCTGAAATACGAATGACATACTTTATTATGAGCCTGACATCTCATGGGAAGATGCTTTTCCTCTTTATCCAAGCGGGAAGACACAATTTCAGCATGTTATTGGGGGAGAGACGGGGAATTTTTAGAAAGCACTGGTTCCTAATAAGATAAATGTCCCGGCTGCATTATGGATCCAAACTCATGTATCATGCATTAAGAATTCGACTTGAAGCATTTTGAAAAGCTTGTGTCAGTCAAAGTAATCTCACTGTTTCTTCATGACTGGGTAAAAAATGGACAGTTTTAAGAATAATACAATGTGTTTAAAAGGTTTGGAAGCACAGACGACTTCCAAGGCACTATCTTTCAACGCTAAACATACAGTATAATGTAAATGATTTTAATAGGAAGTCCTAAAATAAAGATTGACTTCAAAGGTCCTATATTACATAAAATGGACTCTTGTGAACTTTAAGCCATGTTATAATGCTGTTACCTCCTCAAAAACTTAAAACTACTTACTTATAAGAGATCAGAAATAGGAATGGGCATTTGATAAAATTTTCTTTATCGATCGTCCAGAGAATTAACGATCGATCTTCGATTAATCATTAAAGTATCATCATTATTATCACTATTACTAATCTGCATAAACTTAACTTTAAAACATATAAACCATAACCACTATAGAGCTACATCAGCCCATTTGACATAATGTGTTTAATTAATCTCTGACACATTTGTTTACATTTTACAGAAACTAAACTTAAAAGTGCATGGCTCATTTGCACAAACTATAAGTGAAAACAAAACAGCTCGCTCCTGGTGCACTGATGTGGCAGCTTCTGTTGCACTAAAGGACACGACTCAGTGGAATATGAGTGTTCCGTCTGTAACAGAGGGATCTTGATGATGATGGTGAGTCTGTTCTGTGCATATATCCTGTTGGAGATGGTTCATGTTTTCAGAGATCACTAGTGTGCAGTTTTAGCAAAGTTCTTTATGTTGCAGTAACTGGGATACTGCATATACATGCAGCATGACGAAACTGGGATACTCAAAAAACCTGATGTGCATGTAAACACCTTCATTGAATGGTATAATGATCTCCAAGAAGGTGCCAGAGCTGAAACGTGGGACTGGCCGCAACTCCAGTGTTTGTGTCAGACGCAGCCTCATCTCCTTATGCTACACTACGCACAGCAACTTACATTTGGTTTGTTGATTAAAAACTAAAGTGAATGATGAAATTCTTAATGATCAATTATCAATTAGTCGACTAATCATGCCCATCCCCAATCAGAAAACAGTGTAATATGTGCCCTTTAATAGTAACAGAAAAAAGTGCTGATTCTTAAATGATAGTAAAGATTTTAGTAAATCATTTCTAAAATCTTTCTCAATTATTTGCACAAGAAAATAAGATACAGTTCCATCGTGCTGTCTTTGTGAATATTGTAATTCATTCCTGTTTTTATTTCCATTTTGGAGTAAATCTTCTCCGTGGTTGGCTGTGTAGCTGTATCGCTGGAGGGAGTCTGTGCTATCTCTCTGTATTGTGTTAGCGCTCT